GGACAGGAAGAAGCGGAGGGCCTTAAGGCCATCTGCATGGGGAATGCAGGTGTAGAGGGACTGGACGTCCATGGTAAAGATGAGGTGTTGGGGACAAAAGACTTGTCCCGCTCAATGTTGCGTCACCACGTTGGTACGCACGCGCGCCGCTCCCCGCAGGTTCAAGATGGCGGCAGTGGAGCTTAATTTCTTCCCGGGAAAAGCCCTTGGGGAAACGAATCTGGCACTTTCGGGTTAGTCATCGAGTTTTGAGATATTACTAAGTATTTATAAATCCTTCCCGGCCCTCCTTAGGCGCTACCGCGTCCGCGCCCTTACCGCCTGCAGATGGATAAAAACAGCGCGTCTACCCGTTTTCTTCACTGTCACAACGCACGCTCCAGACATTGGTGCGCACCACTCGCCTGCATCCTAGACAGGGAACATTCACCACCGCGGGGAATGGTGGGTAACGAAACTGCCATTAATCTTGTGTTTTGATCTTGTATGGTGAAAATGGTGGAGCAGGATAGTTTTGAATTAAGTTAGCAACGAAATTAGTTTGAATAGTGAAACCAATACAGAGATTGCTGGAGAAACCCAGCGGCTCCGTGAGACAGAAACAGAATTAACATATCAAAAATAGTATGACTCCTCCTAAAACCTGAAAGGTGTATGAAGAGTGTGTAAAAGTCAGTATGGGTGAGTGTTCTGAGAGTGTGCTCAGATAATAGTCTTTCCCCAAACAGATTGGAGTTGTTAGGGTAGATTGAGGAAGAGAAGGCTGAAAGGAGAACAAGTCAATTTGCACGAGAACCAGTGGTGTTCTAAGGAACAGTATTTAATGCAGCAAATGGTGAAGATATTAAATGAACTGCTTGAGACTGTGTGGAAGCAGATTCAAATGTAGCTTTCCAAATGGGATTGGATAAACAACTGAAAGTATTCTGAGGAAAGGCAGGGAGTTACACAACTTGCATTGCCTTTATAGTGAGCTGGCCCAGACGTAATGGGCCAAGTGGCCTCCTTTTGAGCTGTAACATTTTTATCATATTAAATCATAACTGAACAAGAGAGTCACAGAGGAATAGAAGGAGGCCATTTACCCCTTGAGGCCATTGCACCATTCATTGAGATCATGGCTTCTCTGTAGCCTATCTCCATTTATCTCCCTTTGCTTCATATTACTTTATATATCCTTTAATACTTTTGACAAATAAGAATTCTGTCATTCTTAATTTAAAAATTAAAATTGAATGAACATTAATTTGTAATGATGGAAATAAGTTCCAAACATCTGTATTATTGTTGAAACAAAAGACTATCCGGGCGGCACAGTGGTACAGTGGCTAGCACTGCTGCCTCACAGCGCCAGGGACCCAGGTTTGATTCCAGCCTCGGGTGACTGTGTGGAGTTTGCGCATTCTCCCTGTGCCTGCGTGGGTTTCCTCCGGGTGCTCCGGTTTCCTCCCACAGTCCGAAGATGTGCAGGTTAGGTGGGTTGGCCATGCTAAATTGCCCGTAGTGTTCAGGGAGGTGTAGATTAGGTGGGTTATAGGGGGATGGGTCTGGGTGGGATGCTCTGAGGTTCGGTGTGGACTTGTTGGGCCGAAGGGCCTGTTTCCACACTGTAGGGATTCTGTGATTCTATGATTCTATGACTATCTGCCAAAACATCTGATTGGTTGGCAAGTCAACACTGGTAGGCTGAGCTGCTGACATTGAGAAACTGCAGGAACTCATAGAGTTATAGAGAAGTAGGACACGGAAACGGATCATTTGGTCCAACTAGTCCATGTGGACCAGATATCCAAATTGATCTAGTCCTATTTGCCAGCATTTGGCCCATATTGCTTAAACACTTTCTGTTCATAAACTATCCAGATGCCTTTTGAATGTAGTAATTGTACCGGCCTGGGAAACACAAGTAATTGAAAAAAAAACAAGGATTGAACATGCTTTGTTTTTCCAAGAACATTCCAGGATGATGAAAACATGTTGTTTTCAGAGAACCTGACAGTAATTATTTATATAGTTCCTTTAACACAATAAAATGTCCCAAGGCAGTTCACAGAAATGTTAAAAAGCAAAATTTGACACTGAGCCACGTGACGGAATTTTAGATCACGTGACTAAGAGTTTTGTCAAAGAGGTAGGTTTTCAAGACATGTTCAAATGAGTAAAGTGAAAACAGTAGAAAAATAGGAGCAGTTGTAGGCCATTTGACACTTCAAGTCTGCTCCACCATTCATTATGATTATGGCTGATGATCCAAGTCAGTATCCTGTTCCCACTTTCTCCCCATTTCCTTTAGCCCAAAAAGCTGTATCTAATCCTGCTTGAAATATTTAATATTTTGGTCTCAACTACATTCTCTAGCTGAGAACGCAACAGGCTCATCACTTGTTGGGTGAAGAAATTTCTCCTCATCTGAGTCCCAAATGGCCTACCCTGTTTCCTCAGACTGTGTGTGCTGGTTCTGGACTGCCCAGTCATTGGGAACATCATAGTCAAAGAGTTATACAGCGTGGAAACAGACTTTTTGGTCTAACTCGTCTGTGCCGACCAGGCATCCTAAACTGAACTAGCCCCATTTGCTTGTGTTTGGCCCATATCTCTCAAAACCTTTCCTATTAATGTACCTGTCCAAATGTATTTTAAATGTTGTAATGTACCCACATAAACCACTTCTTCTGGCAGTTCATTCCATAGACGCACAAGCCTCTGTGTGAAAAAGTTGCTCCTTAGGTCTCTTTAAATATTGTCCCTGTCACCTTAATCCTATGCCCTCTAGCTTTGGACTCCCCTAACCTTGGGAAATGATCTTGGCTATTTACCTTAGCTATGAACCTCATGATTTTATGAAGCTCTATCAGATCACACCTCAGCCTTCAATGCTCCAGGGGAAAAAGTCCCAGACTGTCCAGCCTCTCCCCATAACTCAGACCCTCCAATTCTAGAAACATCCTTTTAAATCTTTTCTGCACCCTCTCAAGTTTAACAACATCCTTCCTATAGCAAGATGACCAGAATTGTAGGCAGTATTCTAAAAGTGGCCTCACTAATGTCTTGTACAGCTGCAATATGACATTCCAACTCCTATGCTCAGTGCTGTAACCAATGTAGGCAAGCATGGCAAAAGCCTTCATCACCACCCTGTAAACCTGTGATGCCCTTTTCAAGGAACTGTGAACTTGCACCTTGGGTCTCTCTGTTCAACACACTCCGCAGAGCCCTACCATTAACTGTGTAAGTCTTGCCCTGGTTTGCCTTACCAAAATGCAATGCCTCACATTTATCTAAATTAAATGCCATCTGCTGCTTCTCAGCCCTTCGGCCCATCTGATCAAGATCTCGTTGTAATCTTAGATTCTTCACTGGTCACTATACAACCAATTTTGGTGTCATGCACAAAATGACTAACTGTTCCTCCTATATTCTCATCCAAATCATTAATATAAATGATTAAAACAGTGGGCCCAAAACCGATGCTTGTGGCAACTGCTGGTCACAGGCCTGCAGTCTATGAAGCAACTCTCTACCACCATACTTTGTCCTTTACCATCAAGCCAAAGTTCTTTCTAATTGGCTAGCTCACCATGGATCCCATGTGATCTAACCTTATGTACTGGTCTACTATGCAGGAGCTTGTCAATGGCCTTGATAAAGTCCATGTAGACAATGTCTACTACTCTGCCTTTATCTATCTTATTTGTAACCTCTTCAAGAAACTCCAACAAATTTGTAAGATATGATTTCCCACGCACAAAGCCATGCTGACTATCCCTAATTAGTCCTTGCCTTTCCAAATGCATGTAAATCCCATCTCCCAGAATCCTCTCCAACGACTTACCCACCACTGACATCAGACTCATTGGTTTCTTGTTCCCTGTTTTCTCCTTGCAGCCTTTTTTAAGCAGTGGCACAACATTAGCCACCCTCCGGTCTTCCGGCATCTTGCCTGTGGCTGTCAATGATACAAATATCTCTGCATGGGGTCCCACAGTCTTTTCCCTAGCTTCCCACAATGTTCTGGGATATACCTGATTAGGCACTGGGGATTTATTTGCCTTTATGGGTTTTAAGACCTCTAAGCACCTGCTCTTCTATTGTGTGGACTCTTTTCAAGACATCACTATTTATTCCCCTAGCTTCCATGTCTTTCACCAAAGTACATAACTGAGGCAAAATATTCATTTACTATCTCACCCATCTCCTGTGGTTCCACATATTGACATCCCTATCAATTTGTGGAACCTATTCTCGCCCTCTTTTGCCCTTAGTGTATTTGTAGACTCTCTCTGAATTGTCCTTGACTTTATTTGTCAAAGCTCTGTCATGACCCCTTTTGCCCTCCTGATTTTCCTCTTAAGTGTACTCCTACTCCTCCTATAATCTGCCACGTGTTCACTTGATCCCAACTGTCTATACCTGATGAATGTCTACTTCTTCTTCTTGACCAGAACCGCAATATCTCGAGTCATTCAATGTTCCTTTACACCTACCGGCCTTGCTGTTCACACTGGCAGGGACATATTATCGCTAAACTGTGGTTATCTCATTTTTGAAAGCTTCCACATACCAAACGTCCCTTTACCTGCAAGCAGCCTCTCCCAATCTAGTAGATACATCCTCATATTGAATAAGAACATTTTCTTCAACACACTTAACAAATTCCTCCCCATCCATTCACACTATGGCAGTCCCGGTCTGTGTTTGGAAAGTTAAAATACGTTGCCATTAAAATCCAATTATACTTACAGATAACTGAGATATCTCAACATATTTGCTCCTTAATTTCCAACTGACCACTGGGGGCCTAAAGTACAATCCCATGAAGGTGATCATCCTCTTCTTATTACTCAGTTAGCCCCCATATAACTTCAATGGACAGTCCTTCAGGAATATCGTTTCTAAGTACAGACATAATGTTGTCCTTAATCAAAAAATGTCACTCCCCCTCCTCTCTTTCTATCCCTCCAATAACATCTACACCCCAGAACAGTGAGCTGCCAGTCCTGTCCCTCCCTTAGCCATATTTCTGTAATGGCTATGATATTCCAGTTCCCAAGTTCGCATCAATGCCTTGAGATCAACTGCCTTACCTATCAGGCACCTTGCATTGATATACGTGCACTTTAATTCATCAGTCTAAGCTTGTTTTCTTACATGCTGTTGCCTGACTTGTCTATTTAAGTTGCTCCCCTTAACTACTGTACCAGCCTCAACTTTCTCTCCTTTCTCACTACTGCTATGGATCCCACCCACCCACACTACTTAAAGCCCCCAAGTAGCCCAAGCAAATCTCCCTGCTGGGATGTTTGTCCCCTCCAGTTCAGAAGCAACCCATCCCTCTTGTAAAGGTCACTTTTGCCCCAGAAGAGGAGAGATGGAGAGGTTTAAATTGGAAATTCTTGTGCTAGGAGCCAAAGTAATCTGAAAGAATGATCATCAATAAAGCAATTTAATCAGGAATGCCCTAGAGGCTGGCATTAGATGAGTAGAGAGATTGCAAAGGCTTATTGTGGCTGACGGAGATTGCAGAGAAAATGAGGATTACAGCCATCAAAGAATTTCAAAATGAAGATGAGAATTTTAAAGTTTTGTGGGTCCTCAATCTGAAGGCTTTGTCACTCAGTGAGCAGATGGTGATGGCTAAACATGGTTAGTGTGATTAAGGAACGAACAGTAAAGCTTTGGATGACTTCATGATTACTGGGGCATTGGATGTGGGAAGCTGGCCAGAAGTATGATGGGATAGTTAAGTCTAGAGGATGCAAAAAAAGAGTTTCAGGAGCTGAAATTAGAGCAGAATCAGGTGATGTTACTGGGGTGGAAATAGGTGGTCTTGTCAATGATGTGGATATGATGTTGTGAACAGCCTGGCTCAGTCTCAGGCAGTTACGGGATGATGAATGGAGGTGGTGGTTAGGGAATGAAGTTTGTAACAGTGACTGAAGACAATGACTTTCAACTTCCCAATTTTCAATTTGAGGACGTTTCTGTTCATCCACTACTGGATGTCAGACAGCTCAGGACTAGTGTGTTGCTTGGAGGTGATGGTGTCCACATTCATCTGCTTCTAAGTCCTTCCATAAGGTGGCGGTTGAGGGTTTGGACTGTTCTGCCAAAGTTATGTTTGAGTTTTTGATATGTAAAATCCCTGTCTTCTTCTTCTACCTCCTCTACATTTCTGTTTCCCTTATTCTACCACTCTCGGTCTTTCTCTCTCTCCTCCCATAGAAGCCAAAGTGTTGCCTCTGCCTAGACTGGGTGACCAGTTCCCTTCCCTGAAGGACATTAGGGAGTCAGTCAAGTTGTGACAATCAATTATTTTTCATGGTCACTTTGTTCACAAATGACCAGATTCATTCAACACGATTTCTCACCCAGTCTTTGTGCTTTTTGTGGATTCTGTCTCCTGAGTTTGTTTCTGTTTTAAATCTATTTCACAGGATATTGGAAACGGAGGATTTCCAGTCAGGAAACTCAAATCAAACACTAGATAAGGATCTGATGGAACCACCCAATTTATTGTAATCTGAATATCATCTGATTTTGAACATGGAGGGAAGAAATGCCTATCACAGTGTAGAGAAACCGTACATGTGTTCTGTGTGTGGACAAGGCTTCAACCGATCGTCTGGCCTGTCGAAACACAAGCGCAGCCACAGTGGGGAGAAACCGTGGAAATGTGAGGACTGTGGGAAGAAATTCAATTTCCTGTGTGAGCTGGAACTTCATCGACGCAGTCATACTGGGGAAAGGCCATTTACCTGTTCTCTGTGTGACAAGGGATTCGCTCAGTCATCCAGCCTGCTGAGACACCAGCAAGTTCACACTGAGGAGAGGCCTTTTAAATGTCCAGACTGTGGGAAAGACTATAAAAGCTCCAGCAGTCTGATGTCCCATCAGCGTGGTCACAATGACAAGAGAGCTTTTAAATGCCCAGACTGTGAAAAATGTTATAAAAGTCCTGGGGAAATGATGCTTCATCAGCGTGTTCACACTGAGGAGAGACCGTACCGGTGTTCTCATTGTGGGATTGGGTTCAGGAGATCATCTCACCTCATTGCACACCAGCGAGTTCATACTGGGGAGAGGCCTTACACTTGCACTCAATGTGGGAAGAGATTCAGTCAGATATCCACCCTACATAAACACCGGCAACTTCACAGCGAGGAGAGACCTTTCAAATGCCTGAATTGTGGAAGGTGCTGTAAGAGTTCCAGGGAACTGACGTCCCATCAACATGTTCACACTAAGGAGACACCCTTCAGGTGCTCTCACTGTGGGACTGAGTTCAGGTGGTCATATCAACTTACTTTACACCAGCACACTCACACTGGGGAGAGACCTTTCAGCTGCACTGAGTGCAGAAATAAATTTACTCAGTCATCCACACTTATGAGTCACCAGTGAGTTCACAAGTCACTGCAGTGATCGGATTTTACAGTTAATCACATCCAGGATTGAACCACGTTGATTGGGGTCTGTTTCCGCTTATGTTAATATAGGTGGAAACATTCTGACCAAAAAGCTTTCTCGTTTTAAAAGCGAATGTCCGTGGAGAGAAAACTATTTTTCATCCCCTTTACCTGAAGTTTGTGTTTTGGTCATTAATAAGGGTAAATATTTATGCTTTCATGTTTTAACTTCTGTGTGTTAACCAATTCTGGGCCTTCACTGATTGGGAGTTTTATATCAATGATCCTGTGTTTATTAAAGAAGCTTAATTGATGGACCTTTTGATTCAAAGTCTAATCTGTAGAACACTGCAGTGTCTGTGCAGTGTCCATGCAAAGTAATTGAAATGCAGCTGCCATGAACAAAAATGGCACTGCCCATATCATCACATTGTAGAGTGAACCATTGGCCTGTGGATAGTAAGAGGAACAGGAGCAATATTTGTTATGGACCGGACCAGACCAGGTCCCCTCAAAATATTTTATGAAGGTAGCCTAGACCCTAACCTTTTCTTTTTTAAAGGTAGAATTGAAGTACAGAAGTACAGTTCCAGATGTGATGCGACTGGTGAAACTACTCGACGTTAAGCAAAACGCAATTTATTTAAACACTACAGTTAAAATACAAACAAAGAGGAATTTAGAATAACAACTGTTGGAAAACTTAACGGAATAATAGATACAATATTATTACTAATTAACTGTTCCAATATAGTAACATCCCGTAAACACACCCCTTAGTGAAAAGGTATATTCAGATACAGATTCATACATGCTGTCCTTGAATCCAGGAGGAAAGAACATCAAAGAGATTTTAGAGAAAGTAGCAGCTAGGAATCATTTACTGAAGTTTCCCACTCTTCTGGAACCCCAAACAGCTCCTGACTGCTAAAGCTGAAACAAAAAACTGGTCTGTGAGAACTGGCCACTTCCCTTCCATTGTTCCAACTGTTTAAAAAAAAACCTAAAGGCCTCCTAAGTTACTTACTTAAGCCATTTTCAGTAGCCAGTTCTACACCTCTGCCTTTACAATGTCTCTTCAAAAAAATCCAAGACAAAATAACTTTTTTAAAGTGACAGCATTGTCACGTAATGGCAGTAATGCAGCTACAACCCCAGGAGTGCAACCAGTCAATTGGTGACAGCATTTGAGAGAAAATAGTTCATGGCTTCGACAGTCTCAAAGCTGCCTTGCTCCCTTCCTACCATCAGCCAAACAATGCTTTGTAGCTAAGTGCATGTAATTCACTTGTCCTCTCTCAGAGAACTTTAAGAGACACCAAATCTTCTGGCTGCAGTAGGCCCAGGGTGTGGACTCAGCGGGTTGTTAGTGGGGTGGTTACAGTGCCTGAAGCGGACACAGCTAGCTGTGCTTTTCTGAAGCATGGACACTTGGGGTTATTATTGCTGTACCCGGAGAAGGGATTACTTCAGGCCAGGAACAAAGACATTGCAGAGCTCTGGAGCTGTGTTTTAATACTCCTTATACAGAAGATGAACTCTTTTTATGCAATTTCTTTTTATACCTCCAAATGGCGCAGGATTGTGGTGACAAAAATTTCTTCACCTGTATCTTCCCTGATGTAAGTAAGAATGAATAAATAAATCTGGACATGAATCAGTTCCAATTTAAGTGGAAGTGTTCACAATGCACGCACACCAGCAAAGTACCCATTGAACTGTGTATCTATGCATGTGATGCTGCCTTTGCATTTGTAGATCCATTCTAGTTTGGGGTTAATTGCTCCATGTATAGAAAGCATACGATTGGCCATATCAGCACTTGACAAAAATATTCTTCTTGTAGTGACCCAAAGGATTGACCGATTTCCCTGTAAAATAATTTGTTTAAACTTGACAGGTAGAATGGCTTCATTCTGTTGTTTTAGAGGACACATACAACACATCACAAAGTTTATAAATGGAATCTGTTAAACAGAAAAGTTAAGTTTATTCTTTTCAGCAGCACCACTTTATAAACAGAACAGGGAGCATTGAAAATAAGCAGGACTGTTTGTAGTAAAGAATCCTATTGATGACAAATGAGTTCGTAGATAAAGGTAGGGAAATTAAATGCTGGAATGAAGTGAGGATAAGATGTGGATGTTGTGAGAAACTGATGAGTGTCATGTCAAAGAGGTTTACAGACATAACGGGGAAGCTATGGCCTAGTGCTGTTATTAATTCAGAGACCTGACTAATGTTCTGGGGTCCCAAGATCAAATCCTGCCATGGAAGATGGTGGAATTTGAATTTAATAATAAAAATACCTAGAATTAATAACTATTGTTAGGAAAAGCCTATCTGGGAGTTCACGAATGAAAATTGCCATCTTTGCCTGGCCTGGCCTACATGTGACTCCAGACCTGCAGCAATGTGATTGATTCTTGATTGCCCTCCAATAAATGCAGGCCGAGACAGCGGCACCCTCATTGGATGAATGAATTAAACAAAAATCCTCTGGATATTCATTGGAATTTCCTCAGACTGCCATTTCAGATTCAGGAGGCTGTTGTTCAGATTCAGGAACGTTGTATGTTTTATTTAATGAGGAAGAGCTAATGATGAAGACGCACCGATCCAATGATAATCAGCTGTTAACTACTGCATTCAACTAGAATTCTCCTTCCCATCCAATCCATCCAGGCACCACAGGCTGGGAAACCTCAATCCAATCTCTCCACCCCCCCCAGTTACTGAGCTCTTTGCTGAGGGAAACAGATCGTTCTAATCCACTCCATGCAGGTCCCTCACAGACTGGGACATCTCAGTCTAATCTACGCCGGCCAGTCACTGAGCCCTATGCTGAGGGAAACAACTCCTTCTCATCCAGTCCATCAAGGCCCCTCACAGTCTGGGAAACCTCAATCTGATCTGCACAGGCCCAAGTCATCGAGCTCTGTGCTGAGGCAAATAGCTCCGTTTTGTCCACGCCATGCAGACCCCTCACAGCTTGGGACGTCTGCATATAGTCTCTCTACCCTGCAGTCGCTGAGCTCTGTGCTGAGGGAAATAGCTCCTTTTCATTCACTTCATCCAGGACCCTCACAGTCTGGGTCACCTCAATCTAATCTGCGCTGCCCCTAGTCACTGTGCTCTGTGCTGTGGGAAACAGGTACTTCTCATCCACTCCATCCAGGCCCCTCACATGCTGGGACACATCAAACTAATCTCCCCACCCTTAGTCACTCAGCTCTTCACTGAGGGAAACATCTTCTCATCCATTCCATCCGTGCCTATCACAGCTTGGACACCTCAATCTAATCTGCACATCTCCCAGTTACTGAATTTTGCTGAGCAAAACACATCCTTCTCATTCTGCTCCATCCTGGCCCCTCACAGGTTTGGACACCTCAATCTAATCCACATCCTCAGACACTAAGCCTTGCGCTTGGAGAAACATTTTCTCATCCATTCCATCCAGGCCCATCACAGCATGGACACCTCAATGTGAAACACCCTACAGGGGAGGTAATGGCCCAGTGACATTATCGTTAGACTGTTTATCGAGAAACTCACCTCATGTTCTGTGGACCCGAGTTCAAATCCTGAGTTTTGAATTCAATGAATTAATCTTGTATTAAAGAGTCTAATAACGACCTTGAAGCCATTGTCGATTGTCAGGGGGAGAAAATGCCCAGACTGTGGGAAGTTCTTTCAGAGTTCTGACTATCTGATGAACCATCAATGCATTCCCAGACTAGAAATACCTTTCAGATGCTCTCTGTGTGGATCTGCTTTCAAAATACCATCTCACTTCATGGTACGCTAGTGAGCTCTCACTGGGGAGAGACCATTCACCTGCACTGTGTGTGGGAAATGATTAACTTGGAAAGCCCTCTAGCTCAGTCACCAATGAGTTCGCATTTGCTGTTAGTCACATCCAGGACTGAAGCATGTTCATTGGTTAATAAAGTCCAGCTCAGTTTGAATTGTTAACATTCTGGATAAAAATAATATACATCAACTTTGTAATTAATCAGATCCATTTATTATTTTGTGCAATGAACTTGTGTTGTTTTACTGAAAGAACATTGGTGGCCTCAATAATTAACCATCATCCTATCTAAATTACAAAAATAAAACATATGATCTATTAAATCAGGTTTCATTCAAAAATGTGACTTGTGCAGTATTATCATCAACTGGGATCATAACGTTTCGAGAATGAGTGGTGATCTCATTGAAATATATTAGATTCTTACAGGTGGATGTAGATCAAATTTCTCCCCTGGCTGCTAGTCTCAAACTGGGTCATAGTCTCAGAATAAGGAGATTTAAAACCATTCAGAGGGGGTTGAATCTTTGGAAACCTCTACCCAGAGCTTCATGGAAGCTCAATCACTGAGGATGTTCAAATCATAACTCAACAGATTCCTGGAGACTAATGACATAATGAGAAATGGGAATACTACAGGAAAGAAGTAATCAGCCATGATATAACTGAATGGCAGGAAAGGCTCAAGCACTGAATGGGTCCACTCCTGATCTATGTTGAAGGGTTTACCCCATCTTCTCAAGTCCAACAACAAGCAAAGAGCTGATAGACTTGTCTAAGAGTGAGACCATCTGATCAATTACCTCTGCCATCTCCCTCCCTTCCTCATGCTCACCAGCACGAACTGCCTCTAATGTTCTTTGAACAGTGAACTTGTATTATTCTCCAATTTCTTTCCTATCTCCTGTCAAGTCTTGTCAACGTTCAATTGTCTATTTGACTCACTTCTGAGTCCCTGGAGCAGATTCCTAGCGTATGCTCCAAGGATCTCTCCTGGGCCCCTCATATTTCTCATCACTAGGCAGCAATTTCTGAATACAGTGTTCTTTTACATGCATACACTGACTTAGTTTGGCTCCATCTCACTACCATCCATCTCCATTCCTCCGTATCACTAAATTATCACATTGATTATTGCACAGACAGTAAAAACAGAGAAGACCAAGCCATTGACTTCAGTCACCATGACAAATTCTGTTCCTTAACAACCAAGTTCATCCCTCTCCCTGGGAAATGTCTCAGGCTCAACCACACAATCTTGGTGTTAAATTTAACCTCAAAATGAGCTTCTGATCATATATCACTGAGAGAAACAGGTTATTTGCCTTAGAGCACAGATGTTAAAGAGCGATTTTATCGAGGTGTGGAAATATTTTTGGAGTTTTATTTTCCGTAGGGAGAAACTGTTTCCAATACAGGATGGTTGATAATCACAGAACACAACTACATCCAGGTGAGGATGAGGGGAGATGACCTTAGTGAGTTCTGATGATCTGGAGGA